GTTCCTGGAAGACACCTTCTTCAAGCAGTGGTACAGGAAGAAGTCTGCATCCTTCAAGAAAAACATGATTTTCATGTAGGACAATGCTCCATCACACGCGTCCAAGTACTCCACAGCGTGGCTGGCAAGAAAGGGTATAAAAGAAGAAAATCTAATGACATAGCCTCCTTGTTCACCTGATCTGAACCCATTGAGAACCTGTGGTCCATCATCAAATGTGAGATTTACAAGGAGGGAAAACAGTACACCTCTCTGAACAGTGTCTGGGAGGCTGTGGTTGCTGCTGCACGCAATGTTGATGGTGAACAGATCAAAACACTGACAGAATCCATGGATGGCAGGCTTTTGAGTGTCCTTGCAAAGAAAGGTGGCTATATTGGTCACTGATTTGTTTTTGTTTTGTTTTTGAATGTCAGAAATGTATATTTGTGAATGTTGAGATGTTATATTGGTTTCACTGGTAATAATAAATAATTGAAAATGGGTATATATTTGTTTTTTGTTAAGTTGCCTAATAATTATGTACAGTAATAGTCACCTGCACACACAGATATCCCCCTAACATAGCTATAACTAAAAACAAACTAAAAACTACTTCCAAAAATATTCAGCTTTGATATTAATGAGTTTTTTGGGTTCATTGAGAACATGGTTGTTGTTCAATAATAAAATTAATCCTCAAAAATACAACTTGCCTAATAATTCTGCACTCCCTGTATTATTCATATTTTACTTCACTTGATACAGACAATCTGCACTATCGGTTGCTCTCTCCTTTTATCTTTTATATCATACCTGAAGATCCTGTTTCTGTACCCTAGGACGGCAGAGAGGACACTTTTTTAGGTTGGATTTTTATTATACCACTATCATCATTTGGACTGAAAACTGTTTATTTAGCTTGGCGCAGCCCTCTTTACTTTTATACTCTGTTTTTATCCTGTATTTTAGGGTTTTGGGGGGATTCCCTTTTTTGGGTTGCTGCCTAATAGGTTCATTGGCGCTGTCTCTCTCTTTTATTTATTTATTGTTATCTGTTGTGCCGATGCCCAGTTCTCTCTCCTCAGCCCATTCCTCCTCTGCTGACATCGCTCCCAGTGGTGTATTCTGGTTTTGTGCTGCCATGACAAAACTCAGACCCCCTTTCTAAATTTCACTTCCTGTTAAAAACCAACACACTCTTTGCCTGACCGACACACACCTTCACTGATGCATACACTGACATACACTCACAGATACACAGTCATGACCGATACAGTCATTGTCACACACACTGTTTAACCAACACACACTTTCACTGAAACATACACACTCACCTTCACCGACAGAAACACTAACTGACACACGCATTGACTGGCAGATACACATACACACTCACTGACAGACGCACACTCACTCAGTGTCAGACACATACACACTGACACATATACTCACTGACAAACACATACAAACTCACTGACAGACACACACACATTCGCTAACAGACATACACATTGACTGACAGATGCACACACACACTGACAGACATACACATTCACTAACAGACATACACTCTCACTAACAGACACACAAACACACTCACCAACAGACACACAAACACACTTACCAACAGACACACACACTCTTACTAACATACACAGACACACTAACACACTCACCAACCGACACACACACTAACACACTCCCTAACAGACACACACACACACTCACTGACACACTAGCACGCTCACCAACACACACACACTAACACACTCCCTAACAGACACACATACTCTCACTAACAGACACACTAGCACGCTCACCAACACACACACACTAACACACTTAGTAACAGACAAAGATACACTAACACACTCACCAACAGACACACACAGACTAACAATTAAAAAAAATACACAGACACACTAACACACTCACCAACCGACACACACACACTAACACACTCACTAACAGACACACTAGCACGCTCAGTAACAGACACAGATACACTAACACACTCACCAACAGACACACACACACACACACTAACAATTAAAAAAAATATATATATATACATTATATTTGCTGGACCCCATTTCCCTGGGGTCCAGTGGGGGCAAAAGCCTTGTCAGTCTTGCGCAAAATACACCGCTGATCGCTCCTCTAACTTCAGGGGGAGGGATATTAGGGAGGACATGGGCAACATGGAGGGCGGGGTGGCGTGCTCATGACAGATACCAAACATGTAGAGTACTGAAATGAGCCTACCCGAAACTCTTGTTTGACATCCCAATGATGCTGACGGAGGTGGAGTTACTCTTCTGGAATTAGAGCGTTTAAACTCATAGTGAAATTCTTCACAAAGAGATTCCAAACACCGTGACCTGTTCAAATCAGTGAAAAGGTAATGGGGCTTGGGCCTTCAATAGACCTGTCATCAATTTTTTTTAAACATTTTTTTGTGGAAGTTACAAAACAACATAGGTATAAGAACATTACAATGCATTCCATGAGCAGTAAACTTTACCGTAAACGAAGAACTGTTTTTTTAATCTCATGCTCAGTAAATTAAACTTTAATCACACGAGGGAGGCTCCTGCAGGGTCTAGAAGGCTATTAAAAGAGCATGAGATAAGAAGAAATTCTAGATTAAACAGAATGTGCAATACATAAACCTAAAATATCTAGGTTCCTTTTCAGGAAGTGTTTGTGAAGACTGTGTAAGTCCATATATCCCAAGTGTCCCCATATAGGGCCCTAATCCCTCTGCCCCTCTTTTCTAGGATCTCCATATTGTTGATGTTTCTGAGTGTATAATAGAGCTCCACAGTAATAATACTCAGAGCAATGTTTAGACATCAGTCTGTTTAGACATCAGTCTGTGTAAATAAGATATGTTGTTTTAGGTCTAAATTACATTTTAGTAACATAAATTGCTATTTGTAAGTCACATAAAATTTCTCATGACACCCCTGCCCCCATCCACACCCGTAAAATTATATTGTCTCTCTTTGTCCATTTAAAATGCTGGGAGGTATACAAGTCACATGCCGGGAGGTGTGACTAGGGCTCTATAAACAAAGTGATTTCACTCCTAAATAACAAGAGAATTGAGCAGTGAGCCTGCATGAGCATAATTTATACACCAATACTGCTTCATTAAGCTGAAGTTGTTTTGGTGCGTATAGTATTCAGTATAGAATATAGTAAGTAGACTACATTTCCAAAAGAGAAGATATTAAAATCCTTGGAAAACAAATACATTTGATATACATATATTAAAGTGACTAACTTTTGCATTAAGCATATAGATAATTATGTATGAATTTGCAAATATGGCTCCAAAGTGCGGAATTACAACGAAGGGGTTGGGGGAGAGAATACAAGAGAAAAACAATTAGTCAGTATGTGTTGAGACATATATTTTTTAGAAAATAAACATGAGACCGAGATAGTATGTAACTAAGGTACATACATTTAAAGGGACTCTATAGTCACCCAGAATACTAAAATGTCAAAGTGGTGTGGGTGCCATATCCCCCCTCCACCTTTTTAACCTAGCAGCTGAAAGGATTTCCTTACTGCAGGAAAAGCAATGCTTTAATTACGCACATGTGTAGTAGCCTCCCAATGTTTTCCTGTGAGAAGCAATTGTTCCTTTAAATGATTGAAAGCTATCCTGTACCTGCGACAAAGGAAAATACCCTAGAAATATCCCAAATAATGTTGGAAGAAGGTTTTGATGCTATGTCGTCAATTATTTTTAATACTGACAATCTTTACAACCATCTTTTTACGCCTTCGGTTGGGTCAGATTGTAAGATATCTGGTTCACTGTCTGTTTTGCTTCAAATGGCTGCAATAGTGAGGTCAGATACCTCACAGTATGACTAAAGAGGGCACTCAGATAGGGGAGTGGGAAAAGTAGACTAAGAATTGCTTCAAAAATTCCAATATACATGAATAAAATAATAAATAAAAATAAAAAAGGTGGCAAATTATACAGTAATTTTATGTTAAGATATTAAAACATACAGTGTTCCTTAATACCGTTTTAGTTAAGATATAAATGTCTAAATATGTGGTGTCTGAAATGCTTGAAATTTGAGGGGTATCAGGACATTTTATATGTAACTAGAAAAGCTACAATTTCTGGGGAAATTGTGTGAAGTGTTCTTGCCTCCACCAGTAGTCTACAACTGGAGTGGGTGGAGTAACTGTTATTATTTATTTATATAGCACATTTAATTGCAACTTTGTTGCACAGTTACATTAAACCATACATTTATAAAAACATTAGCAGGTGTACAAAAGGCCCTGTCTATGACATCACCTGCTGCTCCAGCCTGGCACAGGTTAGAGTATTTTGGCGGTTGCCATCTTCAAACAGTCGTATTTTAAAAACTATAAATCCTACACAATCACAAGACCCAGACCTACATTTTGATGCATAGTATGTCTCTGAAGTATTAAAAATGAAGGCACAGTCGCAGTTTAGAAATTGCCCTTCAGGTTTGAGCTGCCTGGAGTGGTGTTTTTTTAATGAATGTCAATGGACGGCGTGAGTTGCAAACAAATGATCATATTGTGAAAGCTATCAGGACTATGGCTTAGCCGTTGACATGTTTAGTGGCAGCAGGGATAGCTGAACGTTTTGATATAAGATTTGTGTAGGTGGGCTTAAAAATGAGGGAACAGTGGCAGTTTAGAAATCATGTCCTGATTTTTCAGCTTTTGCCAGCTCCCACTCTAGTTTTGAACATTTTGCCATTCATTCCTATGGGACCAATTTCGCCACAAGAACGACGATATTCCGTGAACCATTCGGCGAAACATTCCACAAAGTAATAGCACACCAATCAGGAACAATCCGCACGTTTCGGTATATTACGGTCTATGTAGTGTAAAAACTGTGGGAGGAGTTAGGGTGGTAAATTTGGCTATAATAAGAATAAGAATAATATATATGTGAGATAACATTAAATGGTCTTGCTATGCAAGAACACTTAATTATTAGGGATAAGTGAACATAACAAATAAAGCAAATATTGTTTTATTTGACAGCCCGTGATGTAGTTCACATTTGCAGGTAACATACTACTAAAAATCCCCAACTGTTATCCTGTGTAATATCAGTGATTTCTTGCACCATCCCGACCTTTTGAACTGTAATGTCATTGCCTCTCTAAACATGGCGCCTAAATCCCACCATGCCTCTTTATGACGTCAAAAAGAAGAGCGTCGCCCTCTGACGCACGCACCGTCTAGACGGAGTTCTAAACACCAGAGCCTCGTGACCGCCGTTTCCTGGAACACCGGCAGCGTTTCTCAGTAGGCATTATGGGAACCGCCGGGTGTGACAATGCCCTTCAAGGAGAGTCCGTGGCTGAAGGTCCCAATAATTCCCTCCTCCAGCTTTCATGGAGTGCGGTGTCCGCTCTCTAGTGTGTAGCGCTCTGATTACATCATCATTGGGCGCCGTGACATTTTAAGTCACGTGATTTGTTGACAGGTGGTGCCGGTCGGAAAGCACCGGCTCTAAGAACATGCTGCGAATCGTTAGGCGGGCGGGGAGCCTCCTGCGGGTAATTGGCAATATATCTTCTTACCTAACCACACCCACTGAGCTGCCTACACTCACCTACCTACCCACCCTCACTCACTAAGCTGCTTACACTCACCTACCCTCACTGAGCTACCTACACTCCCCTACCCTCACTCACTGACCTACCTACCTACACTCACTGTCCTATCCACACCTACCTACACTCACCTACTCTCACTGACCTACCTACACTCACCGACCTACCTACACTCTCCTACCCTGACTGACCTACCCTGACTGACCTACCTACACTCCCCTACCCTCACTGACCTACCTACACTCACCTACTCTCACTGACCTCCCCTCACTGAGCTACCCTCCCCTCACTGAGCTTCCTACCCTCACCTACTCTCACTGAGCTACCTACCCTCACTAGTACAGACCTAAACTGACCGTTAACGTAACCTCACTATCCAACCACTTAAAGGGACACTACAGGCACCATAACAACTTAATGGGTAAGAGTCCTATGACCATCCACTTCTGTTCAATCCAGAAAGCACTGACTGGGTGCTGCTAATGGGCTGAGTGCATCAGTAGCTCTTCATTCGCAAACCAGAGTGTTAAAGAACCTTTTAACAGGTTCCCGGTACAAGGGTTCCTGATTTGAGTCTTCGGACATAAACAGAAGTTGATGTGCAGCGCTGACAGGTTGCCGCACAGAAGACTCTGCAATGAAACCATTTAACATTTTTATATCCCTGCAGATAAGCTGCCGCCATGCACCATAACAACTTAATTACAACGCAAGTATGGTGCCCAGAGTGAAACTTTAACAATATATGCCCTTACTGACGCTCTTCCCCTCGCTGTTAGACTTTCATCCAGTCTCCACTCCCTTAAAAAAAATCTTTGAAAACGTACTTCTTCTGGAAAGCATATCACTTAAACTGTGAATAGCTTTCTCTCCCCGCACCCTGATTCCTCCCCTGAAACGGTCATCAAAACAACACTAAGCCCTCTGTGAATACTTTCCTAGCAACTTATTTTTCTACCCTACCCTTTCCTTTTGTGTCACATTACCCACTCCCTCTAGCATGTAAGCTCACTGAGCAGGGCACTCAATCCCTCTGTTCCTGTGCGTCCTACCGTCTGGTTACAAATACGTGTCTGTTAATCCATCCATAGTACAACGCTGCGGAACTTGATGGCGCTTTATAAATATAAATAATTTTATCTCACCAGCTAACCCACCATCGACCGCATATAATTAAACAGACACACACACGTACTGACCATTTGAAATAACTCTACCATCCAACTTGCACTCAATGATATATATACCCTCAGTGACAAACCCACATTTAACTATACATTCTCACTGGACATTTATATGCCTCACTTCCAAATCATGTTTAATAGTATATTCTCTAACGGACTAGCTACTTTGGTCACTTTAGTGAATAACCCTGTTATATTGACCACAGTTTGCATCCGGTTTGATCTGGATGTATAGCGGCCAATGTCTGAAATCATTATGTAACTGAATGTGTTTGTAGTAGAGCTTTACACTGTTTGTACAGACTACAACGATGTATATATTCTTGCAGGTTAATGGAATTAGTCTATAATACCCTCACATACAATATTCTCTTCTCTCTCCAGAGCCCTCACATACATGCAACAAATCCGTGGAATAGTGAATTGCAGAGATGTTTGGCCTCTGGCCTCCCTATGAACACTCTGGTTCTCTTTGTACCCCAGCAGGAAGCTTGGGTAGTAGAGAGAATGGGGAGATTTCACCGTATCCTGGAGCCTGTAAGTTACTTGTAGTAATGTGTGTAGTATCAGTCATTCAGAGCTTCATGTACATTAACGCTATGTATTTGTGTAGATTAATGTGAATAAAATTAATGTTTTTTTCTAGGTAGCTTATCTTTTTTTAAAACCTGTAAGATATTTCCATGGCTTAATTAACTAATTCATCAAGCCGTTTATATTGTAGACATATATAGGAGTTATTAAACGAGCAGTTGACTATCTGTAGCTGTTACATACATTTATAAATACATAATGCAGCAATTGTAGTGTGTGGGGAGTCCCTTCCTTCAACCAAAACTTATAAAATAAAGAATTGGGCCTCTGGCACAGCTGACAGGGTTAAAAACAGAATTTGTTCATTAGCTTAAAGGACCACTATAGTGCCAGGAAAACAAACTCTTTTTCCTGGCACTATAGGGTCTTTGGGTCCCCCCCCCCCACCCTCTGGGTCCCACTCCCGCCAGGCTGAAGGGGGAGGAAGGGGTTAATCACTTACCTTTCTCCAGTGCTGGGCTCCCTTGGCGCTGGGGATCTCTCCTCTCTCTTCCGACGTCATCTGCTGAATGCGCATGTGCAGCAAGAGCCGCGCTCACATTTAGTCAGTTCATAGGAAAGCATTTCTCAATGCTTTCCTATGGACGGCAGCATCTTCTCACTGTGAAATTCACAGTGAGAAGCACCTCTAGCGGCTGTCAATGAGACAGCCACTAGAGGCTGGATTCTCTGAAACTATGTTTACAGCTGCAGGGTTAACCCTAGATGGACCTGGTACCCAGACCACTTCATTAAACTGAAGTGGCCTGGGTGCCTATAGTAGTCCTTTAACCCCTTAAGGACACGTGACATGTCATGATTCCCTTTTATTCCAGAAGTTTGGTCCTTAAGGGGTTAAAGTTGTTTTGCTTTTTTTCTGATATCTTTGTGAATGGATATGCAAGACATGTGCCAGGTGTGAGAATGATGTAACCAATGGGCAATTAGTATATCCTTCTAAAGCATAAGTATGAATAGGACTGTAGTATCATATTTAAACTGCATGTAAATAGGTTTGTATTTAACAATGATTGATTCTATGTAGACATACGTTGTGCTTAGTGAAATATTTTGCGTTATTTAATTATAAATGTCACTATTTACTTGTATATATTCCTTTGGAAGCCGTAAGTGTATGTGCTGAAATAAATCGCTCAGATCTCAGTGTTTTCACTTGAATCTGTGTAAAGTCCACCTAAAACTGTCACTTTGTGGTCCTTATAACAGTCCTAGCAGTTTAGTTTAAATCTGCATACATGGCTGATGTAATGTGTAGCAATGTTGCTTTGTAGAAAAGGAGGTATATATCTCTAATAACTGTTGGTTAAGGAAATTGAACAAAGCTTCCTGGAATATATACTAACCTATCATGCTGGAAAGCTAAATTAATATCAATCTGTGACATGATTAGTGACTAGATGAACTAATTCAGTTTTTATATGACATAATCTGTTTTCTATGAATACAATTCACTGTAGTGCTATAGGGATTCTCGTATTTAAAGTAGCAATATAATTAGGATATTTTATTTGTCTAATCAGTAATGCGAACTGTGCATTTAGCTACTTTGTTACACAGTTGGCATTTGTTTTCTCTTCTCTGTTCCTTCATTTGATGCCACTGGTTCACTCCAAGAATTGTCTGTCACAGGAAAATAGATTTTATGTCCAGCATTTCAGGAAGTTACATCGTTTTGTACAGTAAATAACATGTTGCCTTGAATTTTATAGGGTTTGAACTTGCTCATTCCAGTGTTGGATCGAATTCGCTACGTGCAAAGCCTGAAGGAGATTGTGATTAATGTTCCAGAGCAGTCTGCAGTATCATTGGGTGAGGACTAATTTATGCCATTGTGAAACGATTGTTTAATAAGGGTCCCCTGGCCACTGGGTTAAAACCAGAATTTGTGGAGTCTGCTTAAGCTGCTTTTCTTTTCTAACTATGGCCTTGAGTTAATATTTTTGGATACGATTTCCAAATAATTTAATATTTTTGCATAAACGTTTAAAATATATATATATTTTTTCAAAATAATGTAGAAATAAAAATATATAATAAAATATTTCTCAAAATTATTAAATCATTTGAAAAGCTCTTCCATAGATATTAAATCAAGGTCTCTGTGTGAATGGATGGGAAAGGTGCTAAAATGATGTAACCAGTTGCCTAAATCAGTGGACTGTAGCATATTGCCCAGACCATATAAGAGAAGGACAAAGTGTGGTATCAGACTCTGATTTTAACAATAAATGGTTAAATGTAAGAGTGGCTACATGCAAAAAATAATTCTGCTTGGTAGTGAGAGGTGCCCTTTATCAGAGCCTGCATTGACTCTGCCTTGGAAGCCACATGTCTGCAATACACCTTAGTGCTTTCTCTTTACTGCTTGTAGGGGAAATATTACCAACACCATTGATTAGTTGTGTGGCCTTTTATTAATACATCTTGTGGGATTGCAGGTTTCATATAATTCAGAGTTTGTATAGTGCATTCATGGAATAATTAAAAAGGCATTTGTGAGCTAAATTATTTGATTTAATAAAATATTGTCTGGTGTTGTGTCAAATATCATTATTTGGTGCTGGGCCTATCTTTGATAAAGCTAGAATTCCAGAGACGTCATAAGTCACTATTTTGTTATTGTTGTGCATTAGCAGGTTTTGACAGGTTTTCTTAATTTTTGCAGACAATGTGTCTTTACAGATAGATGGGGTGCTGTATCTCCGGATCATGAATCCCTACAAGGTACAACTTTCTTTTATATAGAGATTTTGTAGCGGAATTTCTAATCATCATGTAAACTGTGTTTGCAAAGGTTTATATTTTAAACATGTACTCGGCTAATCAAATGTTTTGTTTCTCCAATTTATTTAGTTTTTATTGACTGTTTTTCTTATTTGTGCTGTTTTTTTTTTGTTTTTTTTTGTTTACTTATTTTGTAACCCCTTAAGGACACATGCCGGAAATATTCCGTCATGATTCCCTTTTATTTCTAAAGTTGTGTCCTTAAAGGGTTAAGTGAGTAATCCTATTGTAATGGACAGAAATCTTAAATAAAAGATTTCAGATCTGCATGTGAATATACCAAGTAATATTGCCTCAAATCTACTTCTTTTGAGGGTAAATAATCCACCAGAAATCTCAAAATGCTGCAATCCCATCACACTGATTATGAAAAAGCCAGTTTTTAAGATCCGTATGAGTACCATACAATGTGTTGGTCTTTTTTTTAAATGCAGAAGTTAAGTATTTAATGTAATTGACTCATTATTTTAATACAGGCAAGTTATGGGGTGGAAGATCCAGAATACGCTGTGACTCAGCTTGCACAGACCACCATGCGTTCTGAGCTGGGCAAGCTGACATTGGATAAGGTCTTCAGGGTGAGTTTTCACTGATCTCTGCAACTTCAAAGTCTCAGATGTGTCTCTCACAAAGGGACACTGTAGGCATTAAAACAACTTTAGCTTAATGAAGCAGTTTGAGTGCATAGATCAGTTACTGTTGTCTCCCTGGTCAATACTCTGCCATTTAAGAGTTAAATCACTTTTGTGTTTATGCAGCCTTAAGAACACCTAAATGGCAGAGAATTTAACAGTTCCACTACAGTACACTGTCTGTACATTAAAATCTCTTCAAGCACAATTTGATGCTTAGTGGACCACTCCAATATCTGTAATTTCTGTAGTGGTTATAGTGCCACAGTTCCTTGGCGCCCTCCCAGTATAAGTAATAAAACAGTTTGTGCTGCTGGAAGTCCTCTTAGCTAGTGATACAATACACCTTCATTGATAAACTACTTTAAAACGATTATAGGTTGTTTATATTAACTGTGACAAGTAGTTTTTATTTAATATCTTGTTTTATTATTAACTCATTTGCACAACAGAAATTCAGAGATGATATATTTACATATTTTCTCTGTCATCTAGGAAAGGGAGAACCTCAATGCCGGCATTGTGGAAGCTATAAATCAAGCAGCCGATGACTGGGGTATTAGGTGTCTTCGATATGAGATTAAAGATATTCATGTCCCTGCCAAGGTTCGAGAAGCCATGCAAATGCAGGTACGCTGTCCTCAAACAACAATCACACTTGCTGTTTAAATGATTTATTGATGTGTGTAACCCAAACTTTCATCCTGCCAAGGTCCATAAAATGACTACCAAAACATTGGGTAATAGCTATGTGGGTTTTGCACAGACTGCAGAGTCTACAAGTAACTCCTGTACATAATGTCTTTTAACTTAAAGGACCACTATAGTGCCAGGAAAACATACTCGTTTTCCTGGCACTATAGTGCCCTGAGGGTGCCCCCACCCTTGGGGTCCCCCTCCCGCCCGGCTCTTTGGAGAGGAAAGGGGTTAAAACGTACTTTTTTCCAGCACCGGGCGGGGAGCTCTCCTCCTCCTCTCCGCCTCCTCTCCTCCCATTCGGCTGAATGCGCATGCGCGGCAAGAGCTGCGCGCGCATTCAGCCGGTCTCATAGGAAAGCATTTACAATGCTTTCCTATGGACGCTTGCGTGTTCTCACTGTGATTTTCACAGTGAGAATCACGCAAGTGCCTCTAGCGGCTGTCAATGAGACAGTCACTAGAGGAATTGGAGGAAGGATTAACCCATTTACAAACATAGCAGTTTCTCTGAAACTATGTTTATAAAAAAAAATGGGTTAACCCTAGCTGGACTTGGCACCCAGATCACTTCATTAAGCTGAAGTGGTCTGGGTGCCTAGAGTGGTCCTTTAACAAATGAGGCTGGGGACATCAGGCTATCTACTGGTTGGATCTTTTCAAAACGCAATGTTGGGTATTTTGTTTTAGTGTAATGCAATGTAGTCCAAACACTGGTGAGCGATCTGTATATTTTAAACATGTAAGTGGTACAGCAAAACGTCAGCGACAAATGATAGAACTCACTCCACACCTGAATGCTTTCCTACTTCATGCTGTTTCTATCTATTCTTGTTGACGCATAACTTAAAGTGACATGATGATCAATCTGAGTTTTGGAAATGTCAGTGTGCACCTCCTCTTCATTGATGTTAATGTGAAATCGACATAAGTAGAGAATTTGTGGAGATGGAAGCAAGTACAGTTTGAGAGTATTTGTTTCCAATCCCACTTTTTCTACACTTAAGCCCAAGCAAGATGTCTACAATATGAAGAAAAATCTTTTGCATGCAAGTTATTTTAAAGGGACGCTCCATTGGCATTTTTTTTTTTTCCTTTACTTTTGATAGATATTAATCTAATGGAATAATGCATGTGTTCTTTGGGGAGTGCATCCAAAAGCTGCAGACCTGCTGTCTGCAGCCTTTGCAAGCCCTCCCCTCTGTCCCTTACTCAGAATCAATGAGAATCTTCTCTGCTGGAGCTGTGAGCGCACACTCATTTTCTGATGCTTTTCATTGAGGTGTAGTACAGCTCATAATGAAGGGGGGAAGGCAGAAGCACTCTAGTCCATCTCGCCTACCAATTCGGTTAGCTTTGTGTTGATTGCGTAAGCTGGAGGGTTACATTAATGTCACAAAGAAAAAAAAAAAAAACATTGGGCATTTTGGTTGTTTTTTCATCAGCACTCTAGTTGTGTGTAAATTATATAAAACTAAAAAACAGTTAATAGAATTGCAGCAATAGCAGATTTGTCTTAAACTAGGTTGAAGCAGAGCGAAGGAAACGAGCCATGGTCTTGGAGTCTGAAGGCACCAGGGAGTCTGCCATTAATGTGGCAGAAGGGCAGAAACAATCCCAGATCTTGGCCTCCGAGGGAGAAAAAGCTGAACAGATAAACAGGGCTGCAGGTAAGTGTTTTCTGTACAGCATGCTTAATGCATAGCAAACTTCCTACTGCTATGGTCATATGGAATAGAATGCATTGCGTAAAGATTATAAGAAAAAGAACAGAGGTAGACCCAACAATTAGGTACACTAAGAAAATGGGGGGGGGGGTAACCCCAGGTAGAAATGATCAAAAAAGAAAAATAGTGTACCTACACAGTCTGAAATAGAAATCAGAAATTATGACTGACTGTCAAATCTCAGAGATAGTACTAGATCAATAAAATACATTTTTAATTATAACAAATCTTAACATGTGGTGAATATGCTTGTGTACAAACAGTGAACATATAAAAGGTATTAGAAAACCATACCCTGTTAAAAATGCCTACTAGTATTATGAATTAATACAGCAATGGGGGGGGAGTCAGATTTAAATTGCTAATGGGTTCTATAGCTGGATCTCTAACGTACTCAGTGTATAGAATTCTGTTAGTGCTAACTCTTCAAGATATAAACGGAGACTTGTCAGGATGCTGATAGCTGCACAATCAACTAGCTATACTTCAAATCCTACAGCTAGCACTCCCCCCTGTGCCCTCAAGGGCACCTGCCACTATTCCCACTAAGCAAGTGCCGATATGATAAGGGATTCTGATGAGCCAGGTCAGGCGAAACATGCGCGTCAGGGGTTCCTAGCGTGCTGTTTCTATAATTCAGTAACCAGCAGTTGAATTTGCGACCGAGCTATTTGATTTATTAGTTTATTTATTTTCTTTTATTAATTCATCTTTATTTAATTTTTTCTACTATCATAGCACTTGCTTAGTGGGAATAGTGGCAAGTGCCCTTGAAGGCACAGGGGGAGTGCTAGCTGTAGGATTTGAAGTATAGCTAGTTGATTGTGCAGCTATCAGCATCCTGACAAGTCTCTGTTTATATCTTGAAGAGTTAGCACTAACAGAATTCTATACACTGAGATCCAGCTATAGAACCCATTAGCAACGTAACCCCCCCACCCCTCTCATGAGTCTTTGGACTGCCTTCTCTGCCTGCCAAACGATTTAGATGTCTTCTCTGCCTGTTACAGATTGATATGTATATGGTATTTTGTGAGTAATAAGTGGAACACTAATGGACATAATACTAGTAGGCATTTTTAACAGGGTATGGTTTTCTAATACCTTTTATATGTTCACTGTTTGTACACAAGCATATTCACCACATGTTAAGATTTGTTATAATTAAAATTTATTTTTTTATTTTATTGATCTAGTACTATCTCTGGTAGCAACTAGTCTAGTATCTCTGAGATTTGACAGTCAGTCCTAATTTTGCATTGCGTAAAGATGTGTCCATGGGAATCCAGAATCTCACACATCGCATATCCTTGTAAGTAATCACATTGTGGATGTTGACGGTAAGTAGGCAAGTTAATTCCATGATTTTCTTGCTATAATGTTAATTACCTAAGACTTCCCTCCACCATTAAACACACACAACCCTTGTTTGCGTACATGTGGTTAATGCTTCTCCTTCATTCTAAAACCTCACATGGGGTTTGTCTCAAAGATAAATAGCTATCTATATTAAATTAGTGAAGCACTGTCATTATTTACTAAAACTTGGTGTGTTGCAGCTCTATACCTGGACTCCCACAAATAGGAAGCTGTTAAAGGATACTACATGCATCAAACCACTTTAGCTTAAATAAGTTTTAGTGCACAGATTATGCCCCCACAGTCTCATTGCTCAATTCTCTGCCATTTAGTTATCACTTTTGTTTCTGTTTTTGCAGCCCTAGACAAACCTTCCCTGGCTGTGACTAACACAGCCTGCATGAAAATTGTCATTTTGAATCAGATGTTCACTCACTTTAGATGTTTTTATCTCCTGCTCTATAAATTAAACTTTAATCACACATGGGCTCCTGCAGGGTCTAGGAGGCTATTACTTGAGCAAGAGATGAGAAATTCTAGATTAAATAGACTGTGCAATACAGGAACCTAGAATATCTAGGTTGATTTTCAGAAAGTATTCAAGAAGGCTGTGCAAGTCACATGCAGGTAGGTGTGACTAGGGCTGCATAAGCAAAGTGATTTAACTCCTAAATGGCAGAGAATTGAGCAGTGAGACTGCAGGGGCATGTCCTATACACCAAAACTGCTTCATTAAGCTAAAGTTGCTTTGGTGACTATAGTTTCCCTCTTAACATCATAATGAACCTATATCAAAAGAGGCTAATGACCAAAAGTGAGGTGGTTTAATACAGAAATACCAGGAATGCAGCATTAAACATCACCTTACCAGCCATGAAGAAATTGGCAGCATAATATTGCTTCAAAGTGCTGCTTTATAGGGTTTAATGACGGAGGGCTGTGCAGCTGATTTTTTTTTTTTCAGAACTAGCCTTTACTGTTTCCTACATATACCTCCTTGCAGAGTACCCATCACATTTTCTTTCTCTTCCATTAAAAGCATTATCTTGCCAAGCGAATTGTCACTTTTTGTTAATATTTATAATGCTGAAAAGGAACACTATAGGTACCATAACCACTGCAGTGGTAAATGGTTTGGCTGCTTACAATAAAGGGATGCCAGAGCATTCCTGGCACCATCACCACTACAGCATGCAGAAGTTGTTCTAATACTTGGAGTGTTTTAAGTTTTGTAAAAACAGATTGTACAATTTATCTCCAAGGTGAGGCCAGCGCTATTCTTGCACGAGCAAAGGCGAGAGGGGAGGCGATACGTGTTTTGGCAGATGCTCTGACGCAGCAGGTAATATCTGGTTCCAAACAAGACAATCACCTCTCAAGTGATCAATACATTGCATCTATCTCTGCTGTAAATTTAGAAGAATAATTGACCTAAATGTACGTAATGTTTTCTTTTTTTCTTCTTTTCAGAATGGAAATTCTGCCGCATCTCTTACTGTAGCTGAACAGTACGTAGCTGCCTTTTCCAAACTGGCGCAGGAGTCCAATACTATTCTTCTCCCAGCTAATACAGGAGATATCCCCAGCATGGTAACCCAGGTAAGGTGATATTTGGATATTGACGTTAGTTTGCTGGAACCTGGACACTGCTGAGTATGCCGGCAGGATTGGCTAGATTGTGAAGGGCTGATAATCCGATTGAGCATTTGTGGCATGTGCTTGAACAACAAATCCGATCCATGGAGGCCCCACCTCACAACTTGTAGGTTTTAAAGGATCTAATGTTAATGTCTTGGTTCCAGATACCACAGGACATGTTTAGAGGGCTTGTGGAGTCAATTTCTTAACATATCAGAGCTGTTTTGGCAGCACAGAGGGAACCTACACAATATAAGGCAGGTGGTTGTAATGTTGCGGTTGATCAGTGTATAGACAAGACATTTATTTTTTATAAACATAAAGATCTGCTTTTGTGCTGTTTCCCAAATGGTATTTTCTGATCACTATTTGCATTGAAATGACATGTATTGGTGTTGCAGTAAAATGTTTAATAACGTTTGAAGACATATCTGAATCTGTCTCTTATTATAGATAAAAATCTATGACAGACCAGGAGTGACTTTTTCATGCTGCCTAGCTCAGTGTTTAATATTCAGACTTTAGGGGATCTGTTCTAGCATTGTAAGACTTGCTTGAGTAATATTAGCTGTTACTTAAGGGTTTTTTTTTACTCTTTATCTTTGTAGGCAATGGGAATTTATGGCACTTTGACCAAAAACATACCCCCAAAAAATAAAGAACTTGGCCACGACAACACAAGGGAAACAGATGACCTCCATCAGAGCTAACCGAAAAATCTTGTAAAAGCCCCCCAGTGGATCATCAGCTGGAAAACACAGACCATTACCTCAATACTAAATTTCCAGCTTCCAGATTTTTTTTCCCCCTCTTTTGTATCATCAGCTGTTAATTATGTAATAAACCTTGAAACCAAGCTTTAATATTATTCTCTGGTGCAATATTGTGGTTGGTGTCTTAATTTAACATGGATCAACAAAAATCAACCACGAGGAGGTGTGTGTCGCAGTTTCATCTCAGTAAAGGTTTGATATAAATAATTGTAAGGTGCTAAAAGTGCTTCACAATCATTTTTTGAGATCACTTTTTTTTATTTATTTTTTTATTTTTTTTATTTCTTGCAAGCTGCCATCACAATTACAGGGTTACAAGTCAACCTGTGACCCACAACCAAATATTTCAAATAATGGTTTTCCGCCTATCACTCAGAGCTTAAACTTTCATGCCCTTACTTTACCCTAAAAGTTACTAGCCACTGCAAGCCCATGGCACACTCAAAGGGGTGAATGTATACTAGCCAGGACTTAATTTTTACTTACCTATAGACTAGTGGCAATTGGAAATTTTTTGTCCTGTATCACTTTTAGTAAGCCATAACCCACATAATAAACACCGCACTGTTCTTACTACTGTTACAGTGTACGTGAATGAAACAGCAAGAGGATATTCAGCACTTGTCCAGTACTGGTACAGTCCATAGGGCAGCTGGGTCACCAAATCCGGGGGTGGGAGTGCAGCACAATTTAGACGCTTTGGCTTAATAATCCCCGCCTTAGGATATGGTGGAGTACAGACTTTTTAGGAGGTTCTTGTGGATGCAGATTTGATAGAGTAAGTATGGATTTTTCTGTCCGACAGGCTTAGATGGTATTATCCCCACCAAGGATATGGAGTACAGGAATCCAGCAGCAGACAGGTCCAATAAAAATACTTTTATTGATTTAAAAAAAAACAAAGGGTGAAAACTATATAAAACAATATTAACCCCTTAAGGACACAGCTTCAGAAGCTTGACTTACGCTTAATGACACAAGCAATTTTTGCATTTTCTTGCTGTTTGCGTTCAACTGCAATTTGCATCTCTCTCATTTATTGCACCGACACATATTATATACTGTTTTTTAAAGGACAGAAATGGCTTTAATTTGATATAACATATATATATATATATACTTACTTGCAAAAAAAAATGAAAAATATTGTTTGTTTTTTTACAGTTTTTGCAATAATAATGTGTGCATAATTAATGCAGGTTAAGGAAAGTAATTAAAAATAAAATTTATTTGTTCTGATTTACAGAATATGTGTCTGGGATTTTAAGTTTTTTTGGTAGTTACAGGTCACAAAGCACAAGGAGTAAAATAAACTTTTAATGTGGAGCGATTTTAGAATTTGGTATGTTTGTCTTGTAAGCTTAATAGCCATAAAAGAAAACAAAATTGCCACACAAAAGTATATATTTATATAAAGTAGACATCACGGGCTATTTACCTAAGGTTGTTTTGACACTTTCTACGTAGCCATTTCACCGCCAACCTCTGCTAAATATTGGAGTAAAATTGTGTTCTTTTTGGTTTTTGGCACACAAACTTATAACAGAGAAATTCTCATGTATATTTTGTAAAGTTGGTGTGTGCTATTCCTGTACAAAGTTTTATTTTGTGTTCAGTTACATCTGCTGAGTAAAATGACACCCCATTGTATGTCTTTGGCACTATTTCGTGAAGTTACAGTGCCATACAGGATACCTGTCCTTTACAGTATTCACAGTAGAATTTTGAGAGATGGATTTAATGAGCCTTAGCTTCCATTTGGGGTATTATAACAGTTTGACTGTTCAAAAACCCCCCACAAAGGCCTACCATTTGTAAAAGTAGACACTCCAGGGTATCTCATAAGGTGCATATTGTGCCTTAACATACCCCCATTTTTTCACCAATATATGCCAAAGTATGTGGTTAAAAAATAATTTTGTGCATTTTTTACATACGGATTGCATTTTTGCTGGGCGTTTTGTATATTTCATATGTGCCACTAAGTTCAAACCTCACAAATTATGCTCAGCTAAGTCTTTTGAGTAAAAATACACCCCCAATGAATGTCTTTGTCACTATTTTGTGAAGCTACAGTGCCATATAGGAGACCAAGCCATATCCGTTTTTACCAAACTTTGAATTTTGACGCTGTGCCTATGTGCAATTTCCAAGCATCTTCGCAGGTTTTAAATTCAAACTACCCCACAAAGGCCTACCATTTCTTAAAGTAGACACCCCAGGGTGTTTCAAAAGGTATAGTTTGAACCTTAGCGTGGGATCATTTTTCCGCTAGCTTGTACCAGATGTAGTGGTAATAAGCGTTTTTTCTGCCTTTTTGACATACAAAGTGAGTTTGCACAGTATATTTTGCAAACCTTATGTGTGCTACGACTGTATAATACTTCATATGTTGCTCAGCTATGTCGGCTGAGTACAGCAATACCCCCGTATGTACCTTTGCCAGGTATGTGTGGACATCGGAGGGGCACATTTGGGACACAGCCATTCCAGTTTTTTTTCAAACTTTGAATTTTTATGCTGTGCCTATGTCCCATTTTAGAGTATTTTACCAGGCTATATAATCCAAATTACCCATAAAGCCATACCATTTCTTAAAGAAGACATCCCAGGGTATTTCAAAAAGGCATATTTTGAACCTCAGCGTGGGATCATTTTTCCGCTAGCTTGTACCAAGTGTAGTGGTAATAAGCATTTTTTCTGCCTTTTTGACATACAAAGTGAGTTTGCGCAGCATATTTTGCAAACCTTATGTGTGCTATGACTGTATAATACTTCATATGTTGCTCAGCTATGTCGGCTGAGTACAGCAATACCCCCGTATGTACCTTTGCCAGGTATATGTGGATGTTGAAGGGGCGCATTTGAGACGCAGCCATTCAGTTTTTTCTAACTTTGAAGTTTTACGCTGTGTCCATGTTCCAATTTGGAGTAGTTTAGACGGCTGGTTATTGAAACTTCCCCACAAACACATACTATTTATTAAAGAATACACCCTGGGGTAATTCAAAAGGCATATTTTGAACCTTGGCGTGGGATAATTTTTTCTCTAGTTTGTTCCAGGTGTAGTGGTAATGAGCGTTTTTAAAATGTATTTTTTTACTTTTTATAACTTTTTTACTTTTAAAAACTAGTTTTTAAACTTTTGTTTTGCTTATAAATTTTTTTTAAACTTTCCTAAACTTTCTTAAAACTTTTTTACAGATTTAACATTTTTCTAAGCTTTTTTTTTTACCGTTAACCCCTAACTAGCAGTACGCAGCACTAACAGTAAATTCCCCATTTTCCCATAACTCCCACCCACCCAGCTAGCAAAATATATAGTTATAAAATATTTAAATTAATTAATTAAATAAATTGAACCCCTGAGGGTTAAAAAATAAATAAAAGTTAATCCTCAGGGGTTAAAAAAATTAGATCACAGTATAATACTGTGATCTCTATTTGATCGCTGTAGGCAGTGATCGACTGGCAGGGAAGGGGTTAATTTTTATTTGGACTAGGTAAAGTGTTTTTTTTGTTTTTTTTACTTAAATGTTATTAAAACATTTTTTAAGCTTAATTTTTAACTTTTTAAAGTTTCTTTTAAAACTTTTTTTTAACGTTAACCCCTAGTTAGCCTAACGCCAAATCCCCCAATTCCCCACTAACTTCCACCCACCCCAGCTATCTAAATATATAATTTAAAAATAATTTAATTAATTAATTTAATTAATTTAACCCCTGAGGGTTAAAAAAAAAAAAAGAATTAACCCTCAGGGGTTAAAAAAAAAAATCAGATCATAGTAAAATGTAATCCCTGCCAATTGATCACTGTAGTCAGTGATCAATTGGCAGGGAATGGGTTAATTTTTTATTAAAATGGGTAAGGGGGGGGACACTTTAAATTAACTTTATTTTTTTTTCCAGCAGGGGGCAGGATCATCACTGATCCGGCTCCCTGCACTTCACACAGAACCCGGAAGTGCAGGGAGCCGGTAGGTGAGTATACAGAGCACATGTGCTCGCTCTGACTTGCGGTCAGAGCGAGCACATGTGCTGGGCAGCCTGACCGGGTGCTCCCGGTATGCCTCTAATGCAGAGGCATACCGGGAGCACCATTAACCCCGCGATCGCCGCGATAGCGGCGATCCGGGGTTAATTTTACCGCGTGACGGACGAGGTCCGTCACCCGTCGTTAAGGGTCTCCCCTCTGTGACGGACCTCGTCCGTCACCCGTCCTGAAGGGGTTAACCCCTTAAGGACCAAACTTCTGGAATAAAAGGGAATCGTGACATGTCATGTGTCCTTAAGGGGTAAATCTGAATTGAAGCTAACTGGTTTGATTTACAGGTTATTTACAAGTCCATATACCACCAGTCTGGACGAGATTATATATATCTGGACACATCTGAATTACCTTTAATCTACAACTGAATGCTTACATTTAACAGAATTGGCTATCTACCTGCACATTTGGTTGAATTAAAGTTGTAGGTAGAATGTGGCCAATTCTAATATAAGCCAATACAGTGCAGAAAATTTCATTTGCACAATTTAGAGAACTAATTTTTATGGAGAAAGTGTTAACTTCATTAAGGGGTGTATTTTATTCCAATAATTAAAAAGGTTTGGTTATAAAATGCATAATTATATTCCATTGTCCACATGCTAGAGTGGCTAGGGGTTCCTAAGCCCTAACCCAACCACTTCACTCTAATAGTGAGGGGGCCCAAGAAAATCTAATACCTGTAAAAGAAGAATTCTGAAGGTAAATATAGAATTATTTCTTTCTTCTATAACTTCTTTTCAAAAATTATTAAATAAAAATCCATAAACCAATTAATCCAAATGAACCCATTGAGGGCTCAGTGCTAACTGACAGTTCAAGATGGGAAAGGCCAGATGTATATTTAATGGAATAAATAAATATTTATGAGCACCCTGGCCACAGTAATAGGGCAATCTCTAGGTTCCTCTTTTGGCCAGTCCTGTCCGGCTATTTGCAGAGAGCAAGCTCTGCAGCTAACGTAGGACAGTTTATGGGATTTTTGCATAATAATGTTACAAACCCACAAGTTAAAGGGACACTATAGTCACCTGAACAACTTTAGCTTAATGAAGCAGTTTTGGTGCATAGAACATGCCCCTGCAGCCTCACTGCTCAATCCTCTGCCATTTATGAGTTAAATCCCTTTGTTTATGAACCCTAGTCACACCTCCCTGCATGTGACTTGCACAGCCTTCCATAAACACTTCCTATAAAGAGAGCCCTATTTGGGCTTTCTTTATTGCAAGTTCTGTTTAATTAAGATTTTCTTATCCCCTGCTATGTTAAAAGCTTGCTAGACCCTGCAAGAGCCTCCTGTATGTGATTAAAGTTCAATTTAGAGATTGAGAAAATTATTTAAGTTAAAAATACATCTGTTTGAAAGTGAAACCAGTTTTTTTTTTTTCATGCAGGCTCTGTCAATCATAGCCAGGGGAGGTGTGGCTAGGGCTGCATAAACAGAAACAAAGTGATTTAACTCCTAAATGACAGTGAATTGAGCAGTGAAATTGCAGGGGAATGATCTATACACTAAAACTGCTTTATTTAGCTAAAGTAATTTAGGTGACTATATTGTTCCTTTAATTTAAAAGGATACTCTAAGCACCATAACCACTGCAGCCTGCTGGACTGGAGGTAACTGGCAGACACTAGGTAAGTTGTCAAACTACTAGCAAACGGTTTGACTACTTACAGGGCACACCTGGCACCATAACCACCACAGAGTGATATAGTGGTTATGGTGCCTGGAGTGTTCCTTTAACAAATGGGGGATTTATTTGACAGCTCTGTGTGCCAGTGAACCAAGCAGTGAATCTGTTTCCCTTAATTGCAAGGTTAGACAAATCCTTTGTAGCGGAGAGCTGGTATTACACAGCCTATCTCCACTTTGGATCCCAGTGAGGCTCAGGAAC